AGAGATGAGCAGCGCTTCACTCCCCAACCCTGATGAACCGCTATCAATACCCCTGAGTCCCTGAAACATCAAGCACCACCCAGATACAGCCTCCAAAGGCAAGCGCCACCCTGAAACAGGCCTCTGAGGCCAAGCGCCACTCAGAGGATGAAGAAGAACACCAGCACCACAGTATCTGACGATGACGAAGTGTCCAAAGACTTCCCGGGTGGAAGTCTGCAGCAGCGCCACCACTCCTGACAAGATGACCTCTGAGGAAGAAGCTGCAACTATGGCTGCAGCGCCACTACCCTGGAACCCCACTCCGGAGGAGGGTCCAGCAGGGCACCAACTTCCCTTGCCTCCCTCAGACCTCAATAACCCAGACCTCTGTACAGCCCCGCGTGCTGACAGAGTACAGCGCACGTCCCAGCTATGGCCGGCCCTCCGAAGGTCTGGCTATGTCCGTCTCCCTCAACGCTGAGCCGTCACCACTTCCAGTTCACGCGTTGCACAGCAGCAATGTACTCGGTACCAACTGCCAAAAGCCCTGAACCGATGTGCCCATCCTATCTATAAGCTAAACTAGCCTAGACTCGACCTAGACCGGACTGACTGACCGACCGGTACCGTTTTCTGTTTTGGCCTCTAGGGCCTCTCCTTACCCGGCTATAGGCTATAGGACCGTCTATCAGCTTAGGCCCTTAGGGCCTGTCTGTCCTAGGGGTAGCCCGGGCCTGCTATTCGCAGTTAGGGTAGCTGTAGGAATTCCAGTTAGTACGGGTCTACATTTTCAAAATTTGCAGATATGTCCCTACTGGATTTCCGTACAGGCAGGTCTCTCGGTTAGCCCTCAGCCAAACAAAAATTACAAATCTGACCTACAAATGATACAGCCTCGACAAGAGAGAGGGTACAGGCGACCAGAAACCAGCAAGTCATTGCATATGTATTCGACCAGAAACCAGCAAGTCATTGCATATGTATCTCTTTCTCTCGCTGGTCTTCTCCCTAACCATGTCCTCAGTGTGTCTTCCCTCCCTACATGTGTGCACACTCACTAACTTCTACGTTGTGATGACCCGACCAAACAGGGACTGAAACACAGCTGATTTCTGATTTTTGCTCATAGACTGAATGCCTTGCTGAGTTTCCCGCTTGCTACTAAGTTCTCTAAGCCTGTGTGTATGCACGCTTGCTGGACGGCATGACTGTCTGAGTGCTGGTTGGCTTGAGTGTGTGTGGGGCCCGCAAGGGCACTTATTCGTTCGTTGGGCCCTCAGGGACGGTACTTACCTGTGGCCGTGACAGTGAGGAATTGCAGCGGGGAAAACACTCAAGTAGCAGGTAGGCCGGTACCGCACCCTGAAGAGGTAGATGTTCGGGTACTGGAGGCCGAGCAGAAGAAGACAAAAGTGGCATTTTGAAGAGGCCCAGTAGTTGTAGGCTAGGTCTAGGCGGGTACCAGTCCAACCAGTCTGAGTCTAGGGACTGTACGGGGAATATCAGAGTCTGCAATGATGTTTCCCTCCGAAAGGGAGGAGGTACCGGTTGCTTGGGAAGGCTGAGCGGCCTGGAAGTCACCCCGCCCAAGAGGCAAGCAGGCCGCTATATCTCCAGGCCGGGCGAAGAGCCCAGCCTCATTGTCGGTGTGCAAGTTTGGCGACACACTGGTTGGAGCGCTGGCTGGAGCAGCGCTAGCTTGGAGCAGCGCTGCTGGGGAAGAAGCGAGGACTTGGAGGAGGAAGAAGGACAGGAAGGGGAAGGAGCGCCAGAGGTACTTACCTGTCTGTAGGGGTAAGCCCTAACAGTCTGCTACTGACCTTCAAGCCTAGACTGCCCCTAGACTTCCTACTACCTGAGAACCAGCCGACTGCTGCACCTGGCACTTCAGAATTTGCCTATTGATATGAACGCCTGATGCATCAAGTCGTAGAACAGATGCATAAAGCACAGGCCGCAATGATAGGGTCTGAGAACAAGCATCGCTGCCCATCTACATTCTGGGTAGGGGATAGGGTCTAGGTTAAGGCCTCTGAACTGGGGCAAGAGCATGGGATGTCCCGCAAGCTTATGCCAAAGTACTTCGGGCCATGGGAGGTTCTAGATGTGGTTGGGGATGATCCAGACGGTCCATCATATGTAATTCGGATCCCTGGTCACCTTCGCACCTATCCTGTTTTTCACGCCTCTAAGCTCGCACCTTCCAAGGAAACTGATCAGTTTCCCTCTCGTCGCTCAATGCTGCCCCCAACCATGGACGAAGA